TGGGACTGGTTTGCTAAGAATGAAAAAGTCGAGGCATGATTTGTTGTTGCTGTTGTGTGCCTTCAAGCTGTTTCTGACATCTGGTGCCCGGCTCGGCCATGAAACCTATTGGGTGACCTTGGGCAAGTCACACTCTCTCAGCCTCAGGGCAAACCTTGGAACAACTCTTGCCCAGAAAAGCCTTAGGGTCGGTCGCCATTAGTTGGAAACAATTTGAAGGCACACAACAACAACAACAAATATTCTCTAAATATCTGTGTATGGTCGACATCACTTATTGGTGGGATGGCTGACCCATTGCAACAAGTAATCTTGGAGAATCTTGCAAAGGGATCTGGTAGCACCTTTGAGCAAAAAATCCCTTTGCACACTGTAAGACGGCGATGCCTCTGAATAATATGTGAGAGTTAACATATACCAATGACAGGCATGCTAAAACTATCAGGCTGCTTTTTAGGGTTCTGTTTGCCTTATTTAGAGAGGCAGCGTGGTGTAGTGGTTTGAGCATTGGGCTGAGCGACTAGGGTTCGAATCCCCACTCAGCCATGGAGACCCACCTGGAATCCCTAGGAGGACTCTCAGGGTTAAGAGCTTAGATGAGGCAATGGTTGTCGTGTGCCTTCGTTTTGTTTATGAGCTATGGCAAGTCACGCTCTCTCAGCCCCAAAGTATGGCAATCGCAAACCTCCTCTGAACAAATCTTGCCAAGAAATCCCCGTTGCCATAAGTCAGAAATGAAATGAAGGCACCCAACAAGAATTGCCTCCTCTGAGATTTTCCTAGGGATTTCAATGCAAAAGAGGAAGGGGCTTTTGTACCTTTCATTAAAACTTTCCAGGGCTGATCATTGGAGCGCTTAAAGCCAGCTGCACCGATTGCTAGCTGTAGTTGTAACAACTCCCTTGTTACGACAACACTGGACTATCTGTTCCCAGGCACATTTCAAAATGTTTGTGGTCTATAAAGACTTTTTTGTCGTTGTGTGCCGTTTCCAACATAGGACGACCCTAAGGCAAGCCTACCATGGGGTTTTCTTGGCAAGTTTCTTCAAAGGAGGTTTGCCATTGCCTTCCCCTGAGGCTGAGAGTCTGTGACTTGCCCAAGATCACCCAGTGTGGTTTACATGGCTGAGCCAGGATTTGAACCCCGGTCTCCAGAGTCGTAGTCCAATGCTCATGCCTGCCTCAGGAGGCTGACTCCTTTTCTGCTTTTCCTTCTGCTGGTAAGAAAAAACTTTTTGAATTTCTGGCATACTTTTGGCCATCTACTGTGACTCTACAGAAGGGTCTTTTAATAGTATTTGTGTAGCTGCATCTGCACTACAGAAACAATCCAGTTTGACACCACTTTAACTGCCCCAGCACAATGCATTTGTAGTTTTGCAAGATATTTCGCTTTCTCGGTCAGAGTGCTCTGGGGCCACAACAAACTACAAATCCCAGGATTCCATAGCCTTGAGCCATGCAGTTAAAGTGGTATCAGATTGCTTTATTTTTGCAGTGTAGATGTAGCTTGTGTGTGTACGTCTTGAAATTCCTCTTTTTCAAACTTTTAAATCCCATGTTTGCTCTTAATAGGATAATTTCTCTAAATGATTTTGTGGCTGACTTGTTTTAGCTGAATTTTGTTCAGGTTGTGTTGTCGTCTTCCTTTAAAGCAGGGAGAAGCAGGATCTAAATTAAATAAATATATATAAGTTGTCATGTGCTTTCAAGTCGATTCTGACTCATGGTGACTCTATCACAGGGTTTTCATTGCCTTCCCTTGAGGCTGAGAGAATGTGACTTGCCCAAGGCCCAGCCAGTGGCTTTCATGGCCAAGCAGGGAATCGGACCCTGGTCTCCAGAGTCGTAGCCCAACTACCTCTCTAGAGACCAGGGTTCGATTCCCAGCTCGACCATGAAATCCACTGGGTGACCTTGGGCAAGTCACACTCTCTCAGCCTTGGGAAAGGCAAAGGCAAACCACCTCTGGACAAATCATGCCAAGAAAACCTCATGATAGGGTCGCCATACATCGGAAGTGACTTAAAAGGCCCACAACAAAAACAACCCATCTTATACGCATAGCCTGAAGGTGTCAGAATAACAATAACAGAGTTTGTGAACCATCGGAAAGCAAAGGTGTCACTGTCTCAGCCACCCATGAAAAAAAAAAGTTTTTGGTTTTGGAATATTTTGGATTTCAGAATTCCAGCTCAGGGGAACAACTCAACCTGTCTAGGATGCCTGTGTTTATTTTTAAAAAAGAAACCCATCCCAACAGTGGATTTTTTAAAAAGCACAGCTAAAATATTTCCTAATATGGCATATTTGCAAGGTTTGGTCTCCAGCCCTTTCTTGTACAGTTCTCACTTTTGTCTCTTGGTTATTTTCCTCTTAAGACTCGCTGATTCAAGTCCTTTCTTGCTATTCTCTTGGAGCCTGGAGGGATATCATTGCGTCTTATTTTCCTCTCTCGGAAGCTTTATAACAACGTTCCATTAACCGAGATGTTTTGGCCATGACATATTTGTTTGAAAAAGAAAAAGAGAGTCATCCCAAGAGCAGAGCGAGGGAAAGAGCATGAAAGGGTGGGAGAGGAGTCATGAATTGAATTTTAAAACCTGGGTCTCATTTTTCCACTTCAACTAGTGCTCTGGGTAACCATAAATAAAGGATCAGTTAAAGTACAATAAGACCGGCTGGAGAAAAATCCCATTATTTGCCAGCTCAGGCTTTATTGCGTTGCTTAGCACCCAAAGTTTGTCTTTTTCCAGCCCTCCACCGCTAGGCTCCGAATGCAGATGCTGCTAAAAAGAAACATCTTTCAACTAGACAGAGGAAGAGGAGAAAAGGCAGCAATGGATGTAAAAAGATTTTTTTTATATAAGTAGCTTTTTCTTTTCTTTTTTCTTTTTAATCAGAGGTTTTTAAAACTCAGGTATGCCTGTAAGGAGCTAACTGTTCATAGTTAAGGAACATGGGTGCTCAGCAATGGCTCCTCTTCTTCATCCTGGAGAGAAATGACCAGTGGGGTTCGGTCCTGGGCCCAGTTTGCTATTCAGTATCTTTATCAACGATTTAGATGAAGGAATACAAGGCATGCTTCTCAAATTTGCAGATGACACCAAA